AGTTCGCAATTTCAAAAATATTTTACATTTAAAGTTTTAGCGGAATAGACCTACTAAGTCTAGACATGCAGTACAGGAAAAAATTTCTGCCCAAAATTGAAAAACAACTGAGTTTCCATTTTTAGGTGCTTCTGGAATATTTTTTGTTTTGTGATGCGTAAAGTGTTTTGTTGATATAAAAATTAATTTAGGAAAAACTTTAAAATTAAAAAGTAAAATTTTTTGAATTTTAAATACATATAAAAATAAGGTTCTGCTTTGAAAACTGTAGAGTTTTTGAAAAATTTTTGTTACTTAGAGAAATACAGATACCATTACATTCGTGTTTTATTTGGGACCGAAATATTTTACAGTACAATCACTGACGTGATAAAAAACCTAAGAAATTTTAAAGCAACTTGTTAATAGTATTTTTTGAATACCACGAAAAACCTTTTAAATAATTGTTTATTATTATTATTATTGATTAGCAGAATGGGACGTGCTTGTATCACTTCATTCGATATTTACATACAACACAATTACCAGAATATAAGCACAAATCATCTACGAATTTGTTCGAAATAGAGTAGTTGTTTTCAGTTTAAGTTACTCACCAGTTGGAACTTGAATATCAAAATGGAACTCAAACAATATGTAATACATATATACAAATATATTATTCTCTCAGATTTCCTACTGTGTATAATTATTTATTTTAAAAAATGTTTCCCTTTGTTTAAAAATCTGTTTAAAAACTAAAATATTTAATTTCAAAACAAAAATTTAGTTCTAATTGAACTTTATACATTTAAGTATTAATATTTTTATTTCTATTTGAATCTATTATAGTAATCTCATTTTAAATTTTGACTTATTTTACTAAAATAAAGAATTCTCAAAAATATCAGAGTTCTCATTTCCTAAGGCCAAACTATAAAACTTTTATGGAAAGTAGGAGATAGATTGCACTACAAGTATATTCAATGAAATTAGAAATACTAATGGGAAAGGAGCATCTTTGTTCTTATTTCTGACTTTTCAGGGAGTGTAAGCCCCCTGAACAGTCCTATCTTAAAAAAAACACAGGCCAGAAACTTTAGGTAAGTTTTCACAAATTAAAATTATTTATTTTATTAAATAAATAATTGCTAAATGTTGGTTTTTTCTATTGTATTGAAATTTGCAAATTGCAAATTTTGACAAAACTTAAAATAAAAAATGTGATACGAAATTTTTAATCCTATTAAACAAGTCTATTTTCCCTTTTTATTCTAGTTAACAAAAATAACAACAAAATTCCATTATACAAAAAAAATTTTAAGAAAATAATAAGTGTAAAAACTTCATAAAAAATATTGTAGTCACAGTCATATTCGTACAGTATTGAAATAACTATATTTATTATTGCATACGCAAACGTAATTTACAAATAATTTAGTAGTTCGCTAAATACCCCTTATTTCGAATTATATCTTTCAATCAATTTGGCATTGATTGAATCAATTTTTTGTGATTTCAGAAGTTATTTGAATCCAATCTTCAAGTAACTTCATTCTTAGGGTATTAACGCTACTAATTTGGAATTTTCAAACTCGTTTTTCTAACTCAATCCATAAATTTTCAATTGGATTAATATCCGGCGATTGGGGAGGTGTTTGCAGTAATTTAAGGCAATTATAAAGTAGCAACGATTTAGTTCTATAGGCAGTATACTTGGGGTCATTGTGTTGGTAAAATAGAAAACCAAATTTCCCACCCCTGCTGAAAAAAAACCCCACACTATCACCGATCCTACATCATGTGTTACAGTTGCTTGCGAATATATTGGTGAGAGCTCCGAATTTCTCTTTTTCCAAACCATTTGTTTACTATCTGAACCGAAGACATTAAATTTACTTTGGTCGGTAAAAATTACAAGTTTCCCGAATTCAAAATCTTGATTTTTATATTTTTGAACAAATTTTAAGCGCATGATTCTATTTTTTTTGTTAATAAGCTCTAGCAAGGTACTCATAATTTCTGAAGGTTCTGCGAATTGTTTCAGCACTTACTTGTTTTGAAACTTGAGTTTTGACCATTTCAACCAGCATTCTTGGGTTTTTTTTAATTTTACGAAGAGTAAAACGTTTATCGTGGTCATTTAATATTTTTTTATTTAAATTTCGTGGCTTGTTTAATACTCTATTTTCGTTTGTATACCGTTTTATGATATATTGAATAATAGAACAACCTCTTTTCACAAAATCGCTAATCTGTGAAAAGGATTCATCCTTTTTATATTAAGTGATGATTAACTTTCGAAGTTCTACAGACGTCTCTTTCGATTTTCTGCCCATAGTTTTAATTACATAAAATTTTTTTATTTAAATTTAGTATTTCTTTAATATTTATTTTTTTTATTAAACATCTATTCACTTTAAATTACTGACCACAATTAAAAGAAATTAATAATAATTGCTACAAGTGCCAGAATTTTGACGCCTTTACATAATTGTACGAATATGATTGTGACTTGAGTTTTTACAATTAAATTTTAGAAATGATTTTTATTTACAATTTTGTTTTTGTAACGGAATTTAGCTCTTATTTTCAACCCTCAATCTGAGTCTAAAAATTTGTTTTTGAAATATCTAAAATTAGCTTTTGGCAGCTATCAGAACCAGTGCAGCCATTCAATTAAACTTTTCAAAACATATGTAAAGTTTAACATTTGCATTTTTACATTTTTACAAATTTTGATATCAATATCTTTATTAGTTTTCGAAATATTTAAAAAAAACCTTTTTGAACCTGTGGTCCGAATTGGCCCAATTACAATAGAAGCCATCCTTGGCAGAAAAGAAACAACTTGTGAAATTTTCGTGTCGATTGCGTTACTCGTTTTTGAGTTGCCGTGCGATCAGACGGGTTTCGGTGAAATTGAATGTTTATATCTAGGGCGTTAACAACATGAATAAATTTTTTCAGGAATGTCAGGGCTCAGATACCAAACCGGAGCCGAAATTTCATTTGTTATCATATCCATGGAACTAATTGAGAAAATCCCTTGAAATTAAAAATTTGAGTTCTGTTTGCTACTAAAACTAACTGACGGACTTTTCGGGCAATTTCGGGCAAGTGAGCTTCTGATAAAAGCTAAATTTATACTTTTCTTAACTAAAAGCGTACCCGTCCTCGTCTAAAATTTTATAATAAGTATTTAAAAGGCATTTTCGTCTAGACAATCATTTGTGGTTGATATTTTTTTGATGTAAATCAACATAATGCTTAGGCGATATTGCAACATATTATGTTAGTTAATATGTTAAGTTTATATAGAACCTAATGTGTATATGACATCTGTATGTTTAGTTTCATTTCAATATGAATTTATTTTTACAGAACATTACTATATTCATACTAAAAATGTGAATTGTAAGTAATATGTAATGCACATTGTATTGGTGCTAGAACAAATGCATAGAGAGATAAATTTTGTATTTTTCCTTTTGAAATTTAAGTTCATGTTCATTTCAAATCATTACTCATTTATTGACTATAATGAGCCCTGCGGGTATATGGATGTAATATTTTATATTTTGCCAGTCAACGACTTACCTTGTCTAAGTTTTAACATTTCTTTCTTCATTAAATGAATTACTATAATGTACATACATACCTATATATATATTCATATTTTAACACGTTGAATCTCAATGTATTACCGGTGAGTAAATCTAAAATGTCCAAAATGGTGAACATAAGAAAACTTATATGCGTTGAATCATTACTGAACATAAGAATAACTAAGTATCGCAGAGATAAATTTAATTTCTACGGAGAAAAAAATTTTATATATGTATAGATGAGCACGGATTTTACGAAGTCTTATAGATTTGCTAATGGGTTACACGATGAAGCTCAACGTAAGTATTTTTTATATTTTTTACAGTTACGAAACTCAACGTCTTCATAAAAAAAAAAAATAATTGCAAATTTCTGTATACACTGCTTTACTTCAAGTCTTTTCATAAAAATGAAGAAACCGCAAGCAACTGGCTTTTTCTAATTGGGTTTTATCACATAATGTATGTGTGTATGTTTTCAATAAACTTCGTTAAAAAGTCCAATAACGATTTTCAGTGGTAAAGAGTGTGATATACTATAAATTTTTATCGGATTGAAGTAATTACCTGCATCATACCACAAAACATAATACATATGTATATATCTAGACGCCATCGAAATAAAACAATATGAATTTACATAACGAAAATTCAATTCTTAGTCTTTTAATGATTTCATTTGAAACGAAAAAGGATTTTCAAAGATAAAATTTTATGCAATCTATAAAAAAGAAATTCTCTTAAACTTCTTCTCTTAAATAGGTCTCTCCAAATCTCTAAATAAGCTATTAGATACAGCAGGCAATAAAAAATAGAAAACATCCTTAAAGGGTAGAAAAATTTTCATATTATTTTTATTATAAAATTAGATGTAATTAAATTAATAAAAGATTAGATTTTTTATAAAATTATAAAATTAGATGATTAGTCAACTTGACGTTAGATTTGCATTTTGCTGATACGAAGAATATTCAATTTTAAGCACATATTTCGTTAGACACATACGAGTATTACATAATTGATATGATGGCATATTGTTTTAAAGAATCACATTTAAACCATCACCTATGAGTGTAAAAAACAGTTTTTGAACTTGTTTTTTATTTTATATCTGGTTTATTAATGCTCATTATTTTAAAATTTAATAATGTGAACCTATTACCCAACGTATATACATAATATGTATACAAATTTAAAAAAAAAATAAATTTTTATTATTTTTAATTATTTTATAAACTTTATAATTTTATAACCGCTACAAAATTTTGCTAATAACCTATGATTAGATTTATAGGTGTCCATAGAGAAAATTGTCCATATGCTTCATAACCATTTATTGGAAATTTAAATAATATTTACCTATGTATTCACCATAATGTACACCTATATATCGTAACGTATCTAATATATTACTTAAGAATATTTTCTCATCATATCATCAATCCATCCTTTAAACATTGGCACACTGGTGAAAACATTAGGATATGTATCACCGACTGCATAAATAAAAATATTTTATTTATAAATGAATACAGAACTTCTAATATGTGTATATATCCAAACTAGTTGGAAGATATGTCTTACCGCAACCAATACTCCATGAAATAACTCCTAGCAAACGCCCATTGTAAGTTAACGGACCACCTATATCGCCATAACAAAAAGCTTTTCCACCATTAGGCCCTTTAGCACAAAACATGGTATCTGTTATTACATAACCTGTACCTCTATAATGATCTTCACATGTTAATTTTGAAAGCATATTCACATAAACACTTAGTAAATAAGGCGCTCGATCAGCTCCTTGATAAATCGTACCATAGCCTGACATTTTCAATCTTGTACCTTCAGCTGGCAGATGGTCAGCCAGTGCAATACCACTTATATAGTTACTTTCTGGAAGAGGATCCCGTAAAAGTATCAAAGCAATATCACTGTCACGTGTCTTCTGAAAATAATCAGGATGAGGAATAATCCTTCTTGCCCATTTCACAACGCCACCATAATTCCAATTATTAGAACCAGCACGTACATATGTTTTGTCATAAGTTGCATCAAGAATACATTGAACTGCTGTCAAAATCCATTTCTAAAGATATAATAATAATGAAAATTGTAACAGAAACTGTAGTTAAAAGAGTAATAAACTAATTGTGTGTATAACAGTACCATATTAAGGATTGTACCGCCACAAATAAAATCTGGTACAACAACAGCAACTTGGAATCTTCGGTCTTTAATTTTTTGTGGTACACCACCAACTATACGAGGCTCCAAAGCTATTGAAGAATTGGTAGATTCTTGAGCTTTAACATTTAAGAAAAATGCCAATATAACAGTGAAAATTATAAGGAATATACGAAACAACATTTTTAACTAAACTGAGTTGAATATAAATGCGGTATACAATATTTAAAGGGGAAAGTTGTATTTGTTTAATTATTTTTAAATTGAATTTTTATTGTTGTCCTAAAAAAGTAACATGAGTTTGCAAAAACCAATGTGCGAAATAGAAAAAAGTTATTAAATTATAAAGCTTTAACCTATTTTAAAATTAAAAATTTCTATGAAACACACTATTTGAACAATCTGTTAAATAAATAATATTATGGGCAAATATTGAATTTTGCTATTATGTTGCGAATTTCATCTATAATATATGTAGAGTGTATCACAAAAAACAAATAATTCTCCAAAGGGTGTTTCGTGAGCTATGTATATTTAAGCTTTTTCATTTTTTTTGTCAAAAAAAAATTTTCAGTTTTGTTATTCTGCTACTCTTCACTTAAATTTTGGGTGTAGTTTTATATTTGTATTTCAAATATCGTAGAGGATATATCAAAAATTCAACAACTACTCCAAATCAACAAATACAGTAATTAAAATTTGAATATTTATGTATAAACATTTTTTAAAGTGTGTCTTATTTTTCGATGCATAATCATAACTTAATTTATCTTATAAACGGAATTTTGCCTTACTGTTTCAGCTGCTTCAAATAAACAGTAAGTTCCTCGGTGTAATTGCAAACTCACATGACTTGTACATTGTACGCCCGATTCCCTATTAAATACAAAGTTTAATAAAAGATGGATACGTAAAAATAAATTTTATTTCATGATTTTTATTCCTGAAATAAGATGATTCAAAAAAAAAATGTTAACATCTTTAATGATTTTTGGTTTACAGAAAAAAAACACAGAAAAATAATAGGAAAATAAACTTTATAAAGAAACTAATAATTGAGGTGAAATGCGTCGAAGTTACAGGCTTTTTATTCTATAAGTTTTCACTTGATTAGATATCTCCAATTTAAGCTCGTAAAATTTACAAAAATAATGCCAATGTATCTTTTTTCGTTTTTCCGATATTTTCAACTTGAAAGGTGCATGTTTTTTTTGTTCAATTTTTAAGTATTCTCATTTTATTAGGTTTTCAAAATCCATCCTCAAAATATTATAATTATTTTATTTCTAGCTAGAATAAATACAATTAAGTAAGGTAGTTTTATGTGTTTTTTAATTTGTAAATTAAAAATGTTTCGCTGTAATTCAAAGAGTAATTGACTTACTCTTTGAATTTGGTTGCCTGATAGATATACATACATATATATGATGCATATAACATCAGGGAACAGTCGTCTTGAAAATATTATATGTCACAAAGTGCTTAAAATTAAGTCCTTTAAACGAATTACTGTTGCGATTATCTCCTATTTAGCAAACAGAACAAAGAGGTAGTTACTATTAAGTCTACTAATTAAGAATACTATTAGTATTCTTAATTAGTTTTTTACAGGTAAAGTTTTAAAGAGAAAAATTAAATATAAGTTCAACAATGAACAACTTCAAATAAAGCAAAATACTTGAACTGCAAAAAATGTCACAATTCGAAATATATATACATATATGTAAATATATTTCTTATTGATGAAATTAATATTTTTAATATTTTTAAAAAATGGCTTTACCAAAGCTAACTACCATGATTTTACCACAAAATAATAATTAATTTTTTCAGAAAATTTTTCTTCGTAATATACTAATATTCATAAAAAAAATCTAAATTTAAATATTTTTTACTTTCACGATAACAAAAATTTAAATAATGACTTGAAATATTCTACTGTGTGGTTGCATTGAAAACAAGACGCTATGGCAATGCTAAAATTTGCTAAAACATAAAATTTGACATTGTCAATTTGACGTAAAAGTGCGTTGTGTTATATGGAATTGTATTTTATGTTGTAAATAATTATTTAAAAATATTGGTGCGAAAAGCTAGGAACCAAACTGGAATCTTATTTAAACTTACAGTAAGAAAATTTGAAATACACATTTTTTTTATTTGAAGTACGCTTTTTCAACACAATTTTAATCTGCATATAAGGGAATGAATAAGGCAGTTAATATATGACTAGAAAAAAACGTCATAAACTTTTTTATGAGGTTTTTTTTAATATTTTAAGGGATCTGATCATCTTAACTAGAGAACATGAAGTTTCATGTAAAAAATATTATTTGAAGTTTAAGTTTTTATTATGACACTTTTTAATTCAAATTTATTTATGAACTCGTTTATAATTTTTGATTAAAGTTTTTGTTTTGTTTCTCCGATTTTATTTTATTCGTACGATAATAAATTTTTTTCTTTGAAATATAGAAATTAGCTATTTTTTGAAAATTACTCCTTTTTTTGAATATTTCTGCCCCCCCATCCAAACGACAGCCCTGCTTCCTAACGATATTTTCAAACCATTTCTGGCAACATTTTTTTTGTGTTAAAAAATAAAAACAATAAAATTGGGTCAAACCAATGATTTTTATTATAGCACTTTTCCCTTCAACAAATGAAAATATTTCTTTTAAAAACATTCTAAGTATTTAGGTACACTATTAAAATTACTTTCATGCATATACGAAACTGTTTCTAGGATTGCATATATTTAGGATAAACGATTTATGTTGTCTTTAAAATAAAGCAAAAATAAATTTAAAGAGGGGTTAACATAATCTATTTTAAGGGTTAATTGTGTGAGTAAAAAAAAAAAATAATTATATTTTTTAATGTCTTGGAGTTTACCGTTAGCTTTTTGTGTTTATAAAAATTTTAAAAAGCTTGCAGTTTCGAAAATATAAGGTGCCAAATATTCAAATTCTACAAATTTCGAGTAGCGATAACTTGAGAGGGGGTGGAGATGGGGAAAAATTTTCTTCTAACGAAATGAACTATTTATTAGCATCTAAAATCTGATAAAATTTCAGGCTTGTGTGAAATGGGATCTACACGAAAAACGACATCAAAAATTTGGAAAAAACGGATTTTAGATAACGGTAAATTTGACGGCCATTTTGTTTTTTCAAAGTTCAACTATAGTATGTCGCAATAGGAGAAGCAAGCTATTGCTTTTCTGCGTTTGCAAAATTTGAAAAGTTCATATGATTCTACTACAATAAATAGTTGAAAATGGCGTTTTTAGGGTTTTGGACAATTTTCAGAGGGGGTGAGATAGGTAAAAAAATTTTTTCTATGGAAATAAGTTTCTAGTAAAGATCTATGTACATATGAAATTTCAGCTTTCTATCATCAGGGGTGTAGAAGTTTTGTAAACAGACACACGGACAGAGGGACGGACGGACGACGAACAGAGTGAAACTAACTATATTGGCTTCAAAAATTATTATGTATTTGCCTGTTATCCATGTATTATTAGATCCGTGTTTGCCTAGTTGATGGACACTGTTTTGACACTTTTGAACACTTTCTACATACACTAAATCCTTGACATATGACATTTTTGGTTCCAGAAATTTGTGTCGTAACACGAACTTTCGTTTGAGGAGAAAAAAAATGTATGAAAACAAAAAGTGAATGAGATAAACTATTTTATATTATAATTCACCTGTTTTTCAAGAAAAGATAGCAAAGTTTAAAAAAAGGACAACTAAATATAATATAGAACCAAAAAACTCAATTTGGTAACAAAAATAAACAATAATAAAATTTGATTAAGTTTATATGTATATCACTTTAATTCGTATTTTTGACTACTGTTTAGTATTTTTAACTAAAAAGTGTTCGTTATTGAAGTATGTGATTTACACTTGCCTTATAGCTAAATTTTATTAAAATCTAAACTATCTAAAAAAAAATCTGATGTGGTCAGCACATAACCGACCGCATTGTGTATTGTCTACTAATTTTTCTGTTAACTGAAACCGGTATGATTTTTTTTACAATTTCAATGCAATGAACTGTGAGTGATAACTTTTGTTTTTTATTGTAAAAAGTTTGAACAACTAAACGTTACTTTATTCTTTAACTTGATAAGGTAGTGTTACTTTTTCATCTTTGACTTGATAACTTTTTAGTTTTAAAAAAGTATGTTAATTGCTATATATAGCTTAAATATGTATCATTTAGATGCAAAAAACCTCGTGTGAAAATATTTGAAAACGATAAACTTAAAGCTGCCAAACAAAATAAATACGCCACTGACCAATTCTGTCTCCCCTATGTAGTTTTTTCCAATTATGTACATACATATAAAATATTTTTGAATTATTTTGTTTTTGAATGTGTTTTTTGGATAACTGTTATTGTTATTTGATAAATACTAATTATAACATTATTTGTTAGTTTTTATATCATATGTGAAATATACATATGTACATATATTGCGTCAGGCCAAATAAAAAAACTTTGCAAATATCTACTCACGTTATAAACTTTTATAATAAAAGTTTTAACATATAATTTATATGACTGTATGACATACTCGAGCAAAAATTGTTTCCGTTATTTTCCTTAGTAAATAACTTATTAAATTCATAGTATTGTAATTAAACCTACTTGCATATGCTGCTACGTGACATTTTACAAAATAGGTGATTTTTTGGGTATTCATACTCCCAAAGGTTTCCATAAAATCTTTATATATGACATTTATTGGAAACCTTTTCGGGGCTTCTTGATGTACATTAGTATATGTCTGCTCTCTATAGAAATTAATGTCATTGGGATTTCGTCAACTCTTAATAGCATGTCTTGCACTGTTTGCATTATTTTAATGTAAATTCAATTTGAGTCTGATGAAGATCTTATTATATAAAAGTAAAATGGCGATATCTAATTTTTTGTGAGAATTCGGAACAGCGATCAAGCGATTTTTGTTTTGGTTATATTTTTCGTAAAAAAATTGTTAAATTATGGCGAAAATTCTAATCTTTCTACATGATTTCAGTCTAAAATAAACAGTACCTTAGTATAAAAATTAATATAAGCTTTGCCTTTGAACGCGCCTTTTTCACCAATTATTATTTTTTAATATTTTAACCAGCACTACTTATTCTAACAACCACTTTGAGTCTGTTAAACAGTAAATCAGTTTTTTTATTTAATGTTTTTACAACTAGCATCGAGGCTTATTATTTTTTGATAAATATGTATGTATTTAAATAGCATCCGTCAGGAGGTACCTTGCATCCGTTTAAGATCAAGTTTTAGAGGTAGATGACGTGGGACAATATGTAAAAAAACACATCATAAATTTTGCGCATTTGAGTTGCGATACGTAAAACAGTTGGTAACACGTAAAACATGCGCATAAAAATATAGTTGCTAACGCAGGTTCGATTTTTTAATTAACGTTTGCTAAGATATTTAAAAAGGCTACAAAAAATAAAATGTAAAAGTAAGATTCTGTGTACTTAGTATTTTATAATAAAAAGGATAAAAAAAACTGCGTAGCATTATATTTAAGCAATGGCGATGATTTGAAATGGTGAGGGTTTTGTGGTTTGCTTAGAACTATAACTTTTGAAAGAATAAATAGATAAATTTTTAAGATATTAATAATAAATTTCATAAAAGATATGTATGACACCTACATTTTGGCTTTTAAACATCGAACAAATTTGTACCCATATTCTGTTAGTCGCATCACTTGCTGTGATGGTTTATTATTTAAAAATTTTGCAATTTTCTAAATAAAATCAATTCCGAAATTCGAAATTTTATATTGAAAAATCACATAAAATCAATAATGTCCCATCACCCCAAGTGATGCGACTAGCAGAATATGGGTGTTGATTTTTAAAAAGTTTTATTGAAACACCACCATTCACAAACAAAATATTTCGCCAAAAACACGTTTCTACATGCGTCAAACTACAAATCAATGGAAGCACTGTGCAGTTATTTTATTTTTTCTGTTGTAAATTAAAAATACTGCTACTGGTTAATAGTAGCAGTATTTTTAATTTACAACAGATTAGGTTATAATATTTGAAATGTTTTTTGTATTAAATTGACGTCTCAATAATAAACAAACATAATTATGCCATAAAATTAAGGTCTTTTTTACTCATAATATCAAAAAGGATCGTTCCATTCACAAACTATGCCTATAAGTTCAGGAGCAATTTGAAAATGTAAAAAGAATACCAATAATATAGAAGTGTTTTAGGGATTTTTTTTTGTGATTTTTAAAGAAATTGCAGAATTTTCTGCAATGGATTTTGTTTTTTCTAATTTTGGATTATTAAAAATGCTTGTAATGAAAAAGTAGCAAATTTAGTTTTACCATTAAAACTTATTGAACAAAATAAGTTTTTAAGAATCTGAAGAAAAAATTTTGTTATCTGAAGTAAAAATTCAAGAAAAACGAGAAAAAAAATAGAGTTGACCTTGTCAACTCTGTGATACCCGTACGAATTTGTTATCCTATGTGCGAATAACTAATGTGACATAACTAACTATGGGGCAGACTATGACTTTAAGTTGCCGTATTACCATATTAATTTATGCAAAATTTCAGTACTATGTGTTTTTCAAAATACTGGTTGTGCCAAACTACTATTGAAGTTGTATGGCAGCTACCCGAACCGTTACCCCGATCATGTCCAATTTAAATAGGGTTCTGGCACTTACTACAATAAATCATTTGTGAAAATTTGGTGAACTTAGCTCAATTAGTTTTTGAGTTATCGTTGGGACGGACGGACGGACGGACGGACGGACGGACGGACGGACAGACAAAGCTAAATCAACTCAGAATTTGACGCTGATCAGAAACATACACTTGAGTCTATATCTAACACCGTTATTTCTTAGCGTTACAAACGGTAAGGCAAATTTAGTATACCCTTCGAACATACGTTCGTACGGGTATAAAAAGTATAAGTAATATGCATTTTTCGCATGTTTTTAATGGCAAAACTATAGGAGATAGAGGAAAATGTTATATGGGTTAGCTTTTAGATCGATATTATAGCGTATCGAAAAAAAATAACATTGAAATTAAGTTTTTTAAAAAAAACAAAATTATGCCTTTGACGAGCATTATTGCGAAAAATGTGGCTCAAATCGAATTGATTGTAAGACCATAAAACAAGGTACCGATTGTTACTCTATGATGCATGATTCCGAAGTTATAAGCATTGATTTATATGCCGGAAAAATCTGGTACCTATTTCTCAACTCTGTAGCTCTTAAACAGCTACAGAACTGAGAATGCTGCTGCAAATCGTTCAAAGAATTTGCGACCTTATATGAACCATCCTGTATTTTATGCCCATATAAATGTTGCTTCTATTGAAAGCTGATTTCACTCAAGTCTATCAAAAAATTTTACTTACTTGGCTTGAAGCTGATGTACACATTGCAACAAAACAAAACTTTTCTATGTCTAAATTTGAGACTTCAAATTTTTGCACTCTTTTTTAAATTAAATATCTTGTTCATAAAATGCTTGTTTAGATGATTGAAACATGTGAATAAGTATTTTTAAAAAAATTTATAATTTGAGAATAAAAAATTATGGAAGAGTTGTTATATTCCTACATTAAACGATTGTACGCATTGTGACAAGGACTTTTTCCTTAAGATCGCCAGAAAAAGCCATTTTCAGATTTAAATCGCGTTAATTTTATTAAATATTTGAAATATTTTCAAAAAATTTTTCAGATTGATAGGGTTATTATGATTACTCTTATTATAATTTTTGCGAACCATAAGTTAAAATTAACAGAATTTTTCTTAGAGTTTTTTTAACCTTAGAGTTAACAGAAGGTCTATTTTAGATCCCGAAGCGCTTATGTTTTAATATTTTTATTAAGGTCGAATTTGATTCCACCACGAGCTTCATCTGGATTACTTTCCATTAGTTCTACTAATTTTGCGAACTGCTCCCGATCTTTAAAATTTATACAAATGCTACTTTTGTTTTGCCATAAAAAAATAGGTCTATGACATGTACTAGATGCTACATGGTATAAATATCATTTATTAAAAAAAAGTCATTTTAATTACATTTACCTTATTATAGGTATTTAAAAATTATATATTATTTTATTAGAAATCCGTATTTTTGATAATTCAATTCAAATTTAGTACTTACTTTATGATCTTTGTTAGACAATAAAGAACTGAACATGCTGCAAAACATGTGTTTGATAATTCGGTACATTTTTGCAGTTTGTTTAAAAATTACAACTGCATTATTTTTACGATGTACACCCAACAAACAAAAAAAGAAATCAAAACTAATGTTACTACTGCGGAAACTGTTTTGTATTAAAAAAAATTATGTTGGATTTACAAAATTTATCAGAGCAAGTTTCTTTCAAATTTTGTTATTACTTTCAGTAAATTTTGTTTAATTACTTTCAGTAATTAAAATAACAATATTTAATTTCATGTTTTCATTTTTGAAATTTTAAAAAACTAAAAACATATGACAATGTTAGAACTTTCACAACCAAAATAGTTGTTTTATATGCTAAAGTAGAATTTGCAGTTTCGCACCTGCGTCTCTCTATTGCCTAAACCATTAGGTATTTAAGTTTTAAGTTAGAAATGCGGAAGCATGTTGCATTATCGGGAATGTTCAATATTTTACTTCTTTTTCAGTTTTCACGAAGCCTTAAAATAATGTAATATTGAGTTGGTAATATAACAATAAAGTTTAAAAATTAATTCGAGTCACCAATAACTTTTATTTGCTTAGTTTTGACTTTTGACCATTTTTGACCATAATAGTTCTATAAATTCTGCCAAACTAAATCAATACAAATCAATAAAATTATTTTTTAAACATAGAGTAGCACGCTAAAATAAATATTTTATTTAGTAATATTTATACGATAAATTAAAAAAATGGGAAAGTCGTGTCTTGAAACGACTACTTTCAAATATGTATTTGCTTTATGACACAAATTTTGAAATCAGCAGAAAATTTATTTAAAAACGTAGCAATATTAACCAACCTGGTATTTTTGATTACGAATGTCTAAACGCTGTCAAAACAATTTAAGAACAAAAGGTTTGTGTCTCAAATAAGAGATTTACTTTGCAAATATGGCAACATTAATTATGAAGTTTCAAAATGCCAAATATATAGTTTGACGTTCTGATTTTGCTGGAAATTTAAAAAAAAAATTCTTCGTAAATAAATTATTTACCATAATAGCAAAATACCACATAAATACTTTTTCTAGTATTTAGCTTAATTTTCCACGTTTAAAAAATAACACAACAAATGCTTTCGATAATAACGATATAATTTTTTCTGCTAATACTAGAATAAAATAATTTATTTACTTTAAAATTTCATTGTTGACGTCAATACCATAATTTAATTATTCAATTCTATAGTTACTAGGTCGCAATTGCAAAGGATATTAGCTCTTAAACGGATAGTTATAAATATTTTTTGAATATTTTTAAGTAGAAGACTTTTTTCGCTGGGTAAAACACTCGATGGAGGGCAATAGAGATGAAGCATTCAGGTGCATTGAAATTGCAAGAAAAGCTTTAACAGAAGGAAAATTAGAACGAGCTGAAAAATTTTTGAGCAAAGCTGAAAAATTGTTTCCAACTAAAGAGGCTAAAGGTAATAAATTCATTTTCAAAAAACTTTAAAAAAGAAATTTCGCTTTTAGATTTACTCTCTAAGTTAAAAAGTTTCCCGTCAAAAGATGGCTCTAAAGAAAATTTTTCTGAAGAAACTGATGGGCCACACAAAAGACATACTACATCTGGTCAAACAGGTTCGCAACGAACAACATCACCGACTAGACATGAGCCGGAGTATACACAAGATCAAATGGATGCTGTTAGGAGAGTAAAAAAATGTAAAGATTACTATGAGGTGTTAGGTGTAACAAAAGATGCATCTGATTCTGAAATCAAAAAGTCTTATAAGAAATTGGCTCTGCAGTTACATCCTGACAAAAATAAGGCTCCAGGTTCTGTAGAAGCTTTCAAGGCTGTAGGAAATGCTATGGCAGTGTTAACGGACGCAGAAAAAAGAAAGCAATATGATCTATATGGCAATGAAAGCTTAAGTAGTGGTAATCATTCTCACGGTATGGGTAGGCAAACATATTCAGAATATGCATTTGCGCGTGGATTTGAGTCTGAAATTACACCAGAAGAGTTATTTAATATATTTTTTGGTGGTGGTTTTCCGCAGCAAAATGTTTACACGAGGCAGAGACGTTTCCACAATCGAGAGCATCAACATTCGGTATTTATTATTTTAATTGTTTATACATGTCTCATATTTTTTTTATATCTTTTATATTTAGCAACCGCAATCAAATTATTCAGCATTAATTAATTTATTGCCAATTTTGCTGCTAATCGGTTTATCAATGATGTCGTCATTTTTTATCTCAGATCCAATCTACAGTTTACAGCCAAGCCAGTAAGAAAGTCGAAAACAAATTTAATTTTAAAATAGAAAAATTATACATATTATGTATATGTATGTATATATGTATTTATTACTTTTTCAGTAAATACTCGATTCAAAGACGTACTAACAATTTAAAAATCCCTTATTATGTTAAAGACGATTTTCATTTGGAATATCAGGGTTCTGTTGTTAGATTAGAAGCTTCAGTAGAAGAAGATTATATGAATCATTTAAGGCATTCTTGTAGCAGAGAAAGAAACTATAGTAAATGAAATTCAAAATTAAATAAATTAATTACATTAAACGACATATTCTAATTTATATTTTAGGGGATTCTATGATAAATAAAGCGAAAATATTTGCAGATAGGGATCTTTATAGAAAAGCACAAAATATTAACACACCGTCATGTGATAATTTACAGAAATTGCTGAACATGTAGTTAGAACTGCGTAATACTGGGGGAAATATTGGAACTACGGCATATTTAAATAAATTTTACAATCATTAAAATTTGGCTCCATGTGTCTTTGAAATAAATTATTTATATTAGAAATTTTTTGCTTATTTTGTTTATAAAACAATACTAAAGTGTATGTTTTTTCTATTCCTTTAATTTAATGAAGGTATTTGTTTTACAAACTTAGTTTTTGAAATTGCTTATTTGGAGAGTTAATTTGTTTATACATATATATTTTTATTTACGTATTATTAAATTTGGTTTATTGAATGTGATTTGTTTTTGTTTTTGAATTAATGCATTAAGAACGGAACAAAACTATTTAAAGCGTTGTTGCTACAAGCATTCATATTTATCTTAAACATATAATGAAGTACATCTTTAAAATGCTTTTATTGAAATTATTTCGAACTAGAAACTAGAATAATTGTAGAAATATTGGAAATTGTAATTTCAATTAGAACATTAGAAATTTTCATTTAAAATAAATTTTTGATCATATAATATAAGCAAGAAACTATTTTGTTTTAAGTCTAAAAAATCATAAAAACAAAATATTAATTTTTAAAAGTAAGTGTAATATATTTTGATTCGTTAATGACAAAATAATACATTTCAAATAAAAACCAAAGTTTAAATAATCTAAGCCTATATTAATTTTTAAAGTATGTTACCTAAAAACATGTGTTTTATTTATAAAAGTAAATTTATAAATCAATTTAATATAGTTACCAAAATGTTATTTTCCTTTACCAGAATGTGTTTACTAGAAAGATATATTACTTAAATATTTTGTGTTTTTTTTTAATTAAGAAAAAAAAATATCTTTGCGTAATAAATAATTGTTAGATTCGGAAGTTGTTAAGAAATAGCAAGATATTTTTATGAGAGAATAAAACGTAGTTCCTTTTCAAAATATATCTCATATATCCCAATTTGTACAAAAGCAAATTTATATTAACTTAAGTGGTTGTTCAATGAATTAGAAATCAACCATAGACTTGTGATAGACTTGAACTGATGGAATGATATGAACTTGTGGATATTACTTAAGTTCAGAAATTGTTTTGAAAAATAAACTGTTATACCCAGGAAATAATTCCTGCAAAATGGTTTACGAACTAAGAAAGAAAATAATTATTACACAGCAAGTTGAACTTTTGGATTACCAAAATTAAAAGTTATATATGTACATACATAAATAATTCTAAGCATCACTTAAAATATTGGTTTATAGAAAATTAGTTTAATTTGGACAATAAGATCTAAACACTCTCCTAAATAAACTTTTATTATAACATTTTTTTTTTAATTTTTTCCCTACCATTTGGTAATAAAGTGAATAGATTTATGTATTACTTTGGCAGTATCATATTGTCAATTGGGATTCTCGTAATTATTGTATTATTGGGCGATTTGTTCACGATAAGTTTTATATTCTTTAGATTTATTGGTTTCCTAAGTTTCTAAATTTCGGATGAAGGAAACTATGTTATTTGGAATGAAATGAATTGAACGCTTATATTATTTTTTAAAAACAGTTTTATTTTCAATAATAATCATACTTTTAAACATTATTTTGATAAATATTCGCTTTTCATTTTTTGTTTTTTTTTGTTTGTATTTTAATGAGCTATACAATAATATATAATGAATTTAGTATTAAATAGTCGCTTGTTAATAAATTACAAATGAAAATATAAATTCAACACATTATATCTAAATTAATTTTCTAACTAAAAAGAAAAATATTATTTTTATCTACATATTATGTAGACATAGATATTCTTAACATAAAAATTTATATATACATATATATATACATACATATGAGTATGTTTACAAAGGCTTAGGTTTTAACTTCTTTTAATTATTTTTATATAGTATTGCTTTCGCAAGGTTTATTAAAACTTCGTTGAAACTTCATTGATTTTAGAAAAAAATGTATGTATAAATGTAAGTATGTACCTACTTATACTAATATACTATATAGTATATGTAATTTTTGTTTGGTGAAAATTAATTTGACTGCTTAAATCATGTAATGCTATACATATCAATTTTTTTAAAATTTGTTTGGAACTAGTTTTTAATAGTCATTTATTTTCTTAATTTCATTTCATTACGAATTATTTCAAATATGTGTATACAAAATTTAAAATTAGTTTTTTTTTTTTGTAATTTTCTAATTTTTTGTAACTTTAAAACTTTAAATAACTTAAAATACTTTTATCATCTTCATTACACAACGTCTGATTTTATTATCAGGTTTCTAATAAAAAATTATTTGAATATTTTGTATCTATCAAATTTTAAATAAAATTTTAAATATTTAAACAGCCAATGTATTGTATAATATGAACTGATTATTTTTAATTAATTTTTAAAAATACATAAATGTAAAAATTATTTAAGTATGTTTTTCAAATTGTAATACAAAAAAAACCTTATGTGTAATAAATGTTATATAATGTAAATTTATGTATGCTTTTCTTGAATATTTAATTTGAAAATTTTTTCTGTATAAGTATGTAAGCAATAATAAAGTATAGACGTTTTTTGGTTTTCCTTGAAGTTGTTTTAAAATAATTTCATAAAGTAGAATGATTCAAAATTTTAACTTACATATTTAAAAATATTTTGCATATTTCATTTTTATATAAAATTTTTAGCAATTTTTCAATTTGTAAACTGATTGCAGAAAAAAAGAAAATTTTTTCATAGTAAAGTTTTTTAAAAGTCTTAGAAACATGGTAGGTTTAATTGATTTACCCGTATATTCGAAATAAACACAATATTATTTACAATATATTTTATGGAAAAAAAGGTCTAAAATAAATCTACATTCATACATTATAATTTTGTGAAACTAAGTACATTTTTGTTTACAAATAAAGAAAAACTAGTCAAACAGGTTAAATTTATTGTAATTTTTTATATTTTGGAAGAAAATTTGTGAATTTTAATCAACTGGTTAAAGTTATAGATTGTGGATTGCAAACAAGGGGTAACAGTGCACCGCGATTAGAAAGTATAGATCTATTGTACCCCCCAACTATGTGTGGAACAAAGCCCTACAACAACCACTCGAGAACCACACACCTGATGAATACGAGCTTTTTGAAGCGCATATTTCCAAAATACCTCCTTACTCATGTGGGCGAGCACACCGCATTCCCTCAGAAGGTGTGTCGAGACTCCTCGTTCTGCCCACAAAAGACCCAAACACCTTTCCTTTCTAGGCCAAGCCTTCTACGGTGACCCCTAAGTCTACAATGTCCCGTCAAAACACCAATAAGAATTCTCATTTGAATCCTGCCGAAAGCTCCTTGGGTTGGTTAAAGTTAGGCGTAATATAATTTAGTAGTACGTTTATTTTGAAAATGGCTTTAGTACTATTGCCATGTCTAAATTCTTTTACTTTTTCCAGCTTTAAAATTATAGTTGGAATTTAAAATCCTGTGGTTTTAATGGTAATAAATATTGTGCTTCCAACCTAATATTATTCAATCAGATTTCTGAATTATTTTGAACGTAAGTGTTGTAATATTTTATTTGCAATTAAAAAAGACTTAGCTTAAAATAAACGTTTCAAACAATAATTTAATTTCTAAATTACAAGTATTAAAAATTAAAAAAAAAACTCAAATAAATTCGGACTTAACCAATAGCTTATATTTTAGTACATTTAGCTTGAACATGTGAATGTTAATTAAAAAGCAATCTTTTAATAAATTATTCCACCAAAATACGTTATGTACAACAATAATTGTCGACAGTGTTCTTCATTTTATGTAATTTGAAGAGTATCAGGGTTTTAGTAAAATAAGTTGCAGAAGATTGAGATTTTGCTAATTTTGTGATGCTATAGCTTGAAAAGAGGTCGAAGAAGAGGTTTATTCGTTATACAGATTATTCAAATCTCAAACTTTTACAACTTCCGGTAAAAAAGAAAAATGGCAATGGCTAATTTTAAAGGTTTTTTTTGTGATTGTGATATTAGCTGTGTAAGTCGCTATTATTCCTACGTTTGTGGAATTTAAAAAATATTTGTAATTTCGAAAAATGTAATTTGATTTTAAAACAACCAAGTGGCATTTTAAGGACTCTAATTTTCTAAGATCATAAGTTTTACAGTGCTGGGAGTAGGTAGAAAATTTTTTTCGGATATACTTATATAGTTTCTTTTAGACCCAAGGATGGCAAACAAAAAAAAAACTTTGATCAAATTAATGGTTCGTAAATAAGGATATTTCTCTTTAAAAAACAATGTTCTTTAATTATTTTTAAATTAAATATTTTTTACAGCGCTTTTATACAAATTTGGGAATTCTTATAATTTAGAAAAAAATAAGTTGCCGTTGCCGTGATGGGGTAAAGAACTCAAAAAAAAATGTTGGAAATATACGAAAAACTATTTACATATATGTATTTTCTTTGTTTAGAAATGAATAATTCGTATGGTTTGGAATAAAAAATTGTGAAGGAAGAAGAATACTGTGCAGCTACAACAATAAAATTAATCACTCTCTAATTATTTTTAATTATAGGGATTTCTGGTCATAGTGTACTCCAAAACATTGCATTTTGTGTATTTGTCTGAATAATATTATGTAAATGCATAATCTATATAGAGATAGAGATCCATAATATAGATAGACTTTTCCATAAAATCAGCTTTTAAAAAATACTACTGTATTTATTTCGAATATAATGCAATTGTTTTATTAATCTACCTCAAATGATAAATGTTTTATCATTTTAAGGTTACATTGTTTCATGTTTTGTTTTATTAATTTAATGTATGTATTTCTGTTTATGTAAGTATGACATAATTTTGTTTTTGCATTTTATTAATTTATTATAAAGAATTCACTGCTAATTTTTGTTATTTAATTTTTTGAATTGTCTACATCTTAATATTTTTGAGAATTCATTATCATTATTTTAAAAAATAAAAAGAAGAAGTCTTTACTTGTTGTGTTCAACTAATCTTAAAATATTGAAATAATTTTTTCTTTTGAAATATAAAATTTTACGAGTGGTTTTTGTTTTTATTTTTTTGATAAAAACAGAATCCATTTTTTTTTTCTAAGTTTTTTAGCAATTCCTAAGTTTTTTACGTTAAATTTTTTGGTATTTTTACTTTTTTTTATAGTTTTGAAATAGAAAAAAGCGTTCTTATAGCAATGTACTACATTTTTTTTATTTTAAGGTTTTTATTTGTTTGTTCTTTTAATTTTTTTTGTTTTAGAATGAAGAATTTGATATTTCT